TTTCATTTTCTTCCTGTTTGCATTTAAAAATATTTTTACTCCACCAACATGTTTCGGCTAGTATGGCATCTGTAGCTCGTTTTCCTCTGTATCTGGACTCAAATGGCATCGCAGGTTGATGATAACGCTCTCCATGCATGCTCATCTGATTCTGTCGATAACTGTCCACTGAAGTAGTCCAAATGTCGATGAAGGAATGAATTTTTAACGACATATTTACTCCAATTTAAAAAAAAAATCCAACATTCGTCGCACAAATCCTTTATAATTGGGAGAACGATGTTTGCCTAAAAGTTCAACGATAATTTATCTTATCGACGCCCACGCATTGTCAACCAACGATTTCATATATTTTCAATAAATATTTCATACATTTTTTATACTCATTTTATTCCAGGCGTTTTATTTGGTACTGATATTTGAAAATTGGTAAAGTCTGAAGACTTTGACAATGAGATAGTTGCGTGGGCGTCGATAAGAGGAATCGTCGAAAGCATCGTTCTCCCAATTATGAAGGAACTGTGCGACGAACTGTGCGACATTCTGTCGACTGTCGACTGAAGTTCAGTCGACAGTCGACAGAATCAGATGAGAAGGCAGAGCGTTATCATCAAACTACGATGACATTTGAGTCCAGATAAAGAAGAAAACGAGCTCCAGATGCCATACTAGCCAAAACATGTTGGTGGAGTAAACATATTTTTGACTAAGATTAGGTAGAAAATGAAAAACCAGAAAATAAAGGATAAAAAGTGGAAGGGATAGAATTCTCCAGTGATGAATTAAAAAATTAAAATAAAGAACAAGAAAATAAAGGAGAACAAGTGAAAGGGATGGGAATTACCCAGCAATGAATCAGATTACTGTATGTTTTGATATGAAAAAGTTTTTTAATAATAAAATTAATACAGAATGAAAAATCAAACTCTCTGTACTTTTCTACAATTCTATTTTATCTATTCAATTTTTTCCTACAGATTTTCCAAAGATTTCGTAAAAAAATTTGGTGTTGAAATGATGAGTATTTTGGAAAATCTTGTAAGATTGTTTTTCAGCAAATAAGCAAACTTAAAGTTCAGTTTAGTGTGAGTATTTTATAAATTACTTCTTCTAGTACATTTTACTACATTTTTGCCAGAGGAAGTAGCAAGAAATTTTGAATATTATCGAAAAATTGAAAAAAAAATGTAATTTTTCAAATATTTGGTCCCACAAATTGGGTTTTGGGATATAGGTTGTTCACAAAATGGGTTTATGTGTTCAGTAACTACATGTCTAAAAAAAATCTTGACGATATAAATCAAATATATGCAAAAGAAATCGTTTTGTGTGTCTAAATTGGGGTATATAAGGGTCGAAAATACAAACGTCCATAAAAAAAATTCGAGCTAACTTTTGCAAACCCAGCGAGGGTTTTGCTATTGGATAGGTATATTTTCAGAAAAAAAATAGTCCGTTGCGGTTTGATTTTTGGTGTTGCACAGTGGTATGTGCCTAAGTCTTGTCTGTTACACTAAAGTCATGTTAAACAAAAAATGTATACCAAAAATATTTTTAAATGTATGATTGTTTTTACTGACTAACCTCTATAATTATCAATGTGATTGTTTTTACTGACTAACTAAGTGCTTTCACATTGATTTTGTCCCAACTCGGCATTAAAGCCTGTTTTCTAGCCTTAATAAATTGTCATCTCAAATAATAGTCATAAGACTAAGAAGTGAGTCTTTTTGGGCTGAGCTAAGCACAAAAATATACTTCTCAGCAGCATGGCATGCAATATTTTGTTATCAAGGCACAATTTTATTTGTTAAACAATACAAAAAACATACAATTATAATAATTATTAAGTAGAAAGTGAGGTTAGATAGAAATGACAGTAGTCGAATTTTTGTATTGGTCCAAACGGGTTTTTTACCGACTAGGAGGTAAAATACTTTATACGATTGGAATTTATTTTTTTTAGCCTATGCAATTACTAATTACTTTAGAAGTGCGTGTTGTCAATAATAAAGTTTACCTAAATTATAGAAAATTTGAAGATAAAATACGTTACCAACCTAACACTAAAAGTATTAGCTCGGTAATAATCAAATCTTAAGATTTACAGATTTGTATTCAAATATAAAAAGGAAGGACAATTTTCAAGAATGGACAGAATAAACAAAAGTACACTATAGCAGGACGTTTAGTCATCTTAGTTTTATGCATTAGAAATTTATAAAAACCCTAATTGTTTTGCTACTGGTTACGCGCATTTGTTTATGACTGACTTGTAAATTTAGTTGGAATTTCGATACAAAATACTTGTTTGTCAACAAATTCTAATTACATTTGCAATTAAAACAATTGCCTACCTATATGCACAAGTGTACAAATTAAAAATATGTAATACGTATTAGGTATTTTATTGCGTATCCCGGCGCATTCGCCATATTTGTCAAAATGTTTTTATTTTATGTTTTTAACAGTTTATATTTTACTGTAAAAACTAAATGAGGCAAAATTAAATTTTTATATGTTAGCTAAATCTAATAGGCAAATTTCCAACTTTAATTTAGGATTTTAAAATAGCAAATGGGTTAAATGTCTATTTTAAATTTTTATAGGAAAACCAACTATAATTATTTTGTCCATTTCTTTTTAAAACCGTCTTGAAAAGTATTTTTAGTCCAGTAAATGCGTATGTTGATCCAATACTTTTAAACCAGTTGAAATTTATTTTTTTTATTTTTAAGCTTCTTACCTATTTTTTTTAGAAAATTTTCTCTTAAAATTTTGTTGCTCTAAAAATTTCTTATAAATTGACTATTTAACTTAATTAAATTGGTTCAGTTTGGGAGCTCTGTTTTACGGGAGCGTCGATCGCAATATCACGCAGCGTACATTCGCGTGTTCTTTTTTAATTGCGCAACAATGCATTAACAAAAAAAGTAAGTTAATTACAAAGTTTTAATACCTATTAAATTGCGCTTTTAACAGACATGTTTTTAAAAAACTTTAATTTGTCACCTACAAATTATTAGGTTGAAAAGAGTTAAAAATTTATTTTGAAAGAAAAGTCGAAATGTTGTAGATTGTCCAGCCTACACTGGAGCAATTTCAAGAGGGGTTTTAATATTTAATTTTTGCTCTTTTGATTTAAATAATAAAATTCCGACTGATATAAAAGTTCCCTTTATAAAATCTTACACTTTTAGGCCTATTAAAAAAAAACACAAATATTTGCCTCAAATACTACTTACTTTTAATAAGGTGTGGTTTTATATTTTACTTTCTGTTTTTTTATTATGTTTATAAAATATCTACGCTTAAGCATAGTATTTAATTTAATTATTATATGAAAATTATATATGCTTAATTAAAATCCTAACCAATAATATTTTTAAAATTTAAATATTTATGTATATTTTTATGAATTAAACTAACTTGACAACTCATATTGGAATTTTGTCAAAAAAACATTTATGAGGTAAACAAAACATATAAATAACCCATAAATTTTATTAGAAATTTTTTTATATTCTTTAAATCCGCAAAATAGAAAAGAATTTTATGATCAAAGTTTTAATAAAAATAGATGTGTTTATAAACCAGTTATCATGTATTTAACTTGTGATTAAAATAGTTGGCACTGTGATAATTGGCATTACGACCATTGCAGTTTTTATTTAATTTATCCATTACCCATTTGCGATTTTGGTTGGTTATTATTGTGACATAAAATGATTTATATTAGTTTATAAAGATGCAGATCATAAATAAATATCTACATAGTAAATAAAATATGTTTTGGACATTGGACTGTATATTTAAAATACTTTGGCAAGCAATATTAAAATCCTACATACGAAAGTTGGGTGAATTATTAAGTAAAAGATTACGTGCCAGAGTTTTAAGCAACGACTATTTCCAAATTAAAAATTTTACTTTTTACGGCCTTAAGTGTTTTCAAATAAGAACTAGCTTACGGTAATTTTACATTTTTAAATTTGTATGGTAATTTAAAGTTTTTTATCAATGCAAGTTCGAGTATACCTTATAGATAAATTACCTAATTAAAAACCAATTGTTAATCCCCACGCATTCGCCATTTTTACAACAAAATCAAAATGAATTCGTTCATTTTAGGTCAGTTAACATCGAAATGTTGTATACTTACAGTAAATGGTCAATTTATATAAAATTTTAATAGCTACAAAATTTCAAGAGAAAATTGTTGTTATAAAAACAGCGCAAATCAATCCAAAAACAGAAAACATTTTGATAAAAAATAAATAAAATTCCAAAACTTTTACTGACCGAGTATAGAAAATAGCTATGAATGAATAAAATAATAATAACTATAACTGTTATTAGATTTTTTTTATAAATTAATTAATAAAATTTGTATTAACAAATATCAAGTAAAGAAATTTACGCATTTTTATTGTCAAAAATGGAATCGGCTGTTTTTCTATAAAAAAACACTTCTATATATATTTATTGTTTAACCAATAAGGTTTTCCCCCTAGTTAAAAATTAACTTAGTGAAATAATATTTTTAACAATGGATAGCAGGTGTCTGTTGTTTTTTTATTCAACAGTTACTGGATAAATTGTACGTAGTTTTAAAAAACTTGTCAACGTTGCGAAGTGTTCTTACTATGTCGAATATCATACAGATATCTGAAAACGGATATGACAAAAAATAAAACTTTAAATAAATGTTAGGTACTTGAATATTTTTTCCAATTTTTATTTTATCCAAAAACAATAACGTTTTGACTTTGACAACACCCTGTTAATAATACTTAACTTGTTTTTATTCAAAAACTGGACTCTGACTACACACATCTTATGTCATTTAATTAAAAAAAAAATTTTAATTTAATAAACGTTAGTTAATACTTTTTTTCTATGAAATATAAATTTGTGATTTTAATATGTACTACATTAAAATATATATATGTGCAATTGATAAAAAGCATATACAATTACAATTTATTTTGTTATTTTAGTGGTTAAATGGCTGAAGCGTGGCAGGGTCCGTCTAAGCAGGGCTTGTACGACCCTCAGTTCGAAAAGGAGGCGTGCGGTGTCGGTTTCATCGTTGCCATCGACGGCAAGAGGTGCCACAAGATCGTGCGCGATGCCCAGCGTCTCGCTATTTCTATGAACCATCGTGGCGCGTGCGCCTGCGACAACGACACCGGGGACGGAGCTGGCGTCCTTACCGCCATACCACATGATTACTACTATGCCAAACTCAAGTAAGTACTACACCTATTTAAGGTCAAAATCGATAAAATTGTTTTGACTAATATTAATAGTTTGAAGAAGCTGGTTCAAAAATATATACACAAACAAAAGTAAGGATAGCCCAAGAGGAAAAAAAATACGTGCACGTATTTTTTTTCCTGGATAGGTAAAATGTCATCCTCAAAATTAATTCAAAATAATAATGCATTTAAAAGTTTCTCTAGAACGCAATTTTAGCGCGAATTACTTACAAGCGCCGTTAAAGTGACCTGTAATTGGACAATATAAAACGATAAAAAAAAATAAAATAAAAAAAAATTAACTTAAAACAAAAAAGGCTCAACAAAACTTCAAAACTTTGAAAAAATAAATATAACTAATCAGCAAGCAAATCAGACGAAACTGCGTCTACACTAGAGGATTTGGCTCTTTTTAATACTTTCAACTATGATTGTAGTATTTTTAATAATTTTAAACCTGGCGCATTCGCCATTCTAGACTTTTGAATTTTCCAAGAGCAGTATATGTGGCTGTTACAGCTTTAAGCTGTAATTCTGTAGGCTAAATACGCGGCCTTACCAGATTTTGTTGATTATTAACGACAGTGCTTGATCTCGTGTAAGATATTGGGTTCTATTGTACTCAATAACTTTTTTAATTTCGTCATACGTTTTGGGGAACTTTCTTCATTCATTTTACCTACAATAACTGCAGCCTTTGGATATCCACTTTTTCTTACACTCGTCTGAACAGCAAAAAACAAAAGTTTTTATTAACGCCCTCGCCCGATTTTGCTTAGCCCTGTTACCACATTTTTTAAAGCTTCTGAAAAGTCTTCAAACTTTTGAAGGCCCTGCCTGTGGTTCTTTAAGTTTTATTATATCGTATATAGGCAATAAACTGTTTTTTAATTACACTATTTTAATTTCAAAAACCTAGATGTAATGTTGTTACTTCTTTTTTAGCTGAATTTAATATTTTTAAGAAATTTTATACATATATTCTGAATATTACGCCCTGTTACACCTCTTAAGGTAAAAAAAGTCTTTTAATCACAGAACCTATTTCTTTTTAAATCTTCAAACTTTAAACTATTCTTTTTTTTCTTTTTCATTAGGAAGCGCATTGTCAGTCTGTTTTGTATTTAAATACTTCCAAAAATATTTTGGATTTGTGTATATATAGCTTTCAACTTTGTTTATGTTATTTACACAGCACTCATTAGACATAGTTTTATAAAATGTATACATAAGATTCTTAAATTACTATATGCATTATAATTTTCAAATAAGGGATACATTTTATAGTTTTTGTGGGCAATTATTTACAAATTACAGCATCCTTTAACTCTTTTGAGAACCAAATTGGAAATTTATGATTTTTGACAAGTTTCTTTGGAATATATAAATCAATTAAAATGGATAATGTCTCATAAAATTAAGCTACGCATATATTAATATCATAAATGGAAAATATTACATTCCAATTGAGAACAGATAAATGTTCATTAAGCGCAAAATAGTTTGCATTACGAAAATCGTAATATACATGTTGGAATTTAAGTTATTCAAAATTTTCTCCAATTAGATGGACATTTTAATAGGTAAAGTTATCACACTCAGAGAAATATCAAGTTATGAAAAGCATATGAAATTATATTAATTTAAATAATCGGGTAAATTTGATTCAAATAGAAAAAAATTTAGTATTACATTCATTTACCAACAGTTTTACAATGTTTTGAAACACTTTTAAAGTGTACCCTCTTTAAAATATATATACAAAAAGAAATCCATTTATTTCATTGCCTTTCTCAAAGTTGTTTCAAAAAGATATGTATTATACAATTGTTATGCACCTATTAATTTAATGGGAAACACCAATGACGCCAAAACATATTTGAATCCCTAATAATTCAAAGGGATTCAAATATGTTTTGGCGTCATTGGTGTTTCTGATTAAATTAAAAGGTGTATAACAATTGTATAATACATATATTTTTAAAATAACGTTGAGAAAGGCAATGAAATAAATAGATTTCTTTTTGTATATATATTTTAAAAAGAGTACACTTTAAAAGTGTTTAAAAACATTGTAAAACTGTTGGTAAATGAATATAAAAAAAAATTTTTTTCTATTTGAATCAAATTTACCCGATTATTTAAATTAATATCATTTCATATGCTTTTCATGACATGATATTTCTCTGAGTGCATTAGCTAATTCTGAACCAGAAAATATATGTACCGAATTGGATTATTTGGCAAAACATGAAAATGCAACTTCCAATTAGTTTTTGAATTACATTTGCAATTAAAAACACAAACTTGACTATATAAGTATATAAAGAATAATAAATCGAAATCTAGTACTAAAACCAAGCAAAGTTTTTCAGTTTTTATTTGCAACGCAAAACACAAATAATGTGCGTGGTTAAACTGTGCAATTGCAACTTTTCGAATACAATTTGTCGGGTAAGACATCTGCATTCCTGTATTTTAATGTTTTTCGCACCTCGCTTCGTTTTTTTAGAAAAATAAATTTCTCTAAATACATGAAGCAAATACAAAATAGAAAAATGCTTGTAATATATTTTAAATAAAACATGTTTCTTATCAAGTTAGTTATATGTATATAAATAGTTATGTTGATTTTTTTATTTAAAAAAACGTAAACTCTCTGTATTTCGAAAACGAAGCGGTTCTGTAAACTATAGTTACAGTGACGTTTTTTTTTCTCATGCAAGGTATTTTTTCTTAATCTTTATATTCACCCTGATTATTGTTTTTATTATTACAAAAACAATCATTAACGTCTTAGAGTCGCAGATATAAAACGTTATAAAATTAAGTCAGGTAAACAATAGCACCAAATAGCTATTTGTGTATTAAGAGCGCGTGTCACTTTTCGCTCGAATTACACACAGGATTTTTTCTATAAGAATGTTTGGTAATAATTAATAATTATTGATAACCTCAAATTTGACGTTTGTGTCAAAAGTCGCAAATTCACTAAACGTTTCTTTATTATGGTTTTCATGGTAACTAGGCGAGCGACAAAGTAACTTTGTCGGTCGGCGAGCGACAAAGTAAAAAAGCGCTCGCTCCTCAACTTTGCGCTTTCTTTTGGAAGCGCAAATTTGTACTTTTCGCTTGGTTTTTTAGATCGATAAATCGTCTTATGCTACCCAAGGGTGTCATACATTTTTTATTACTATACAAAAATGACGCCCATGGCGGCAATATAAAAATCAGTCTAAAAAATTGTACATGCAAGGGTTAACGCATAACCCAAGTTGGAACCTATTTGATAAGCATTAAATAATTTAAAAAATAACTGTCAAATGGCGATCTTCAAAGAGCCTTACATCCAACATTAATACCTATAAATTAAAATTTAATAATAATTCTATATTTATTATTGTAATTGTACTATTCTTGTGGGCCTGATGATTTTTATTCTATTAATTTCAATAAATTAAAGGAGTTTAGTTGTTGTCAAAAATGGCGGATGCACCGGGATATTCAAACATTCTCTAGTTGTGCAATATATTTTATTCAACACCTGCAGGGAATATGTAATTTGTGGCCCTTCTGAAAATGGGCAAAATATTTTTTTTAAATTAATTTCCTAACTTAAACCCGTGGGCAAAATAGCATTTTGCCCACGGGCTGTCTTAGCATTAAGTTAAAATTGGATAATAGTAAGGTTAAAACTGCTTGGCAGTTGTCAGATATTAAATAAAGTATTAAATAAAATAGGTTGAATAAAATATTGTGTGAGACTATTGGTCAAAAAAGGAGATTCCACTCGCGTTTTGTGTTGTGTTGTACTCCATGCTCGAGAAATCCCTTCTTTTTCCCACTAGTCGCCCAATATACTGTGTTTTATTTATTTTAAATTTTAATTTTAACTTTAAATTTGCATTGTTTTGACTTTATTAAACATACAAATAAATTATCATTATTTTGAAAGTGGTATAATAAATTTGAATTAAATTTTCTTAATAAAACTTTATTTATTTTATTTGGGCTGCTGACATGAATCAATATATGCTTTATTAAAATTCTACCATTTATGATTCCATAAAAATAGGTAACCTTATTTAAATTTTATTGATCCTTTATTATTTCAAAGCATTTTAAATAAAAACATAAAACCTAATTTATTGTTTTTTAGTTTTATTACAGGGACTAGAAAGGAAAATTTTAAATCAATATCTCGCGAAAATAATTCCAAATAATAGTTAGGCTGAGAAGCGAGTCTTTTTGTGCTGGGCTTAAAGTTTGAGCAAATTAAAAAATACACTTTTTAGCCGCATGACATACAACATGTAATCGTCAAGGCATAATTTTATTCATGAAACGATACATATGTTAATCGTACAATTATAATAATAATTATTAAAAGTACAAAGTAAAAGTGGTCGAATATTTTGATTAGTCCAAACGGGTTTTTTACAATTGGTCTAAATTATTTTTACAGCACTGTTAAAATAATTAAGACCAATCGGGTAAAGTTGTTTGCCTCAGAGTCTGTAAAAAACCCGTTTGAATACTGTCAAAACTATCTAACCTCACTTTCTAATTTTATTAAATAATTATTATTATATTTGTACGTTTTATGTATAGTTTAATGAATAAAATTATGCATTGAATATAAAATGTTGTATGCCATGCAGCTGAAATAATAATAATTATCGTCTATACAAAAATTATAATCGTTTGTGTACGTCTATAGACGATAATCGATCACTTTAGTAGTGAGTGTAGACAATAATAAAGTTTAAATTATAATTATATAATTATAGAACGCTTGAAAATAAATAAATAAAATACTTATCAATATTTTGCTAATGCATTAACTTTGTACAAGTGTTATTCCAAAATGACTCTTACTTTTTTCAAATTATTTCATACATACTAGATAATATTTACAAAAATGTAAATAAACAATGATAATAAAATTCAAACATGAATGCAAACTTAAAAATGTATTTTTAACGATATAA